CATTATATATTGGATTTTGGTATGAAATTTTATTCCACTTTTTTTTTCAACAATGAAGAAATTGGAACATATCAAAACTACTAATTTCTAGTGAATCTTACCTTTTTCCCAATTGTAAAACTATTAAATTCAAATTGCCATATCTGCAGAATGTAGGCATTTTTGGGTATTCGAGGAAGGATATAACGGATGAAGACCTGCGATCTATTATAGCTTCAACATTAACATGCCGAGTTGATCATCAGTATGATTTTCCTATTGCTTCCTAAATTATTAGTTTCTGTCTTGTTTTCTGTCCATGGACAAATCTTTAGCACTGAATTTTACACTCGTCAACTTGGGAAACTGCTTGCCGAGTCATGATTTACGAAAACTTAATCCCAACTTATATAGCAGAAAAATCTCCTGGAAGTTTACTTTTCACGTAAACATTTTGTGTCTAGTTGTCTAATTCCATATATGTAATTACATTGGTTAATTTCCCTTGAACCTTAAAAGTTATACGTCTTTCTCGCTTGAGAGTTGAGAATAAAAGAATAGTGTCTAGTTGCATTTATTTCCCATTGTCCTATTATTCTATGGTATTCTAGCTTGTTGACTAATGTGAAATGCAAAAACTCAGAGAGAATTGTGCGGACAAATTAGATGCTTTCCTTCGTAGAACATATCATATTAATGGAGGCTGTGACAATAAATATGGGATGTCCATGCTGAATGCCCGAATGGAGCAAATTGAGGTAACTTTGGATAAATTTCACCGGGATATAAGAGAGTTCTTTTTTGTCTGAAATGAGTTCCTGTAAACTCTTTCACAAATTGTATATCCTTTGGTATCTGATTGTGTTACAGCTTATTGTCTACCTCAGGGAGGATCCAAAACCAACAGGATATTCTACCTTTCTGTGCCACAAGAAGCAGTTTTAGATGTTACGGCTTGTCTTTCTAGCAGTGCTCAGACTCAAAAGGGATGGAATCGCATAATATTTGAGAAGCCATTTGGCTTTGATGCACTTTCTTCCTATAGGATGACACAATATCTTCTTTCAAACTTTGAGGAAAAGCAAATATATAGGTATTTGTTGTTTCCCTCTCTCCTCACCTATCAGCTCATGCACGCAACAGACTAAAGTACTGTTACATAAATTAATGATTCATGTTACTCTGTTTCTAGGATTGATCATCTTCTAGGAAGGAATCTCATTGAAAATCTCACAGTTTTAAGGTTTTCAAATCTAGTTTTTGAGCCACTTTGGAGTCGTACTTACATAGACAATGTACAGGTCAGTGTCCCTCATTTAATCTGATTTAGCATGCCTTGATTTCTGCATTTTCTGTGTAAATTAAAATGCCTTTTATTTAATTTAATGGTTGTAATCAAATTGGTTTTTTAAATCACTGTAGGTCATTTTATCAGAGGACCTGACCAAGCATCTAGGAAGGTGATCTTAGTGACCATGGTGTCATTTGGGTGAATATAATGCGATGCATCATTCTTTATTGAATATGCATGAACAACTTTTTCCTCCACCAGTAGATGTTTATTATATAATTCTACTTGGTCCTCTATTACCTATGCAGATATTTCAGTGGCTATGGGATTATCCGTGATATTGTTCATAGTCACATTCTCCAGACAATTGCATTGCTTGCAATGGAACCACCAGTAAGCCTTGATGGAGAAGATATTCGAAATGAAAAGGTATTCCACAGATTACGGATTATAAGCTCCATAACACACCTTATGTTTACGTTCTGCAAGGCCAAGTCAATTAAGAAATAAATAGTACCCAAAATATCGTGTTAAGAAGATTAATGTCATCATCTATTGGCATCAATACGAAAATTTGATTGCAATTCTTATTTTAAAAAGAGTATGAACAATTCACTCTCAAAATATTCACTCAAACTTGGATTCTTATTATAAGTTGAATTTTATTGCGACTCAAACTATTGTGTGAGGCTCATAAAAATAGGGTATGAGGTTCATACGATTTGCGGTTAAAATCAATCAATAATTTAGGTTGCATTAAGAGGTATGTTAACATACTTCTCTTGTTTGTTTAATTAAGTAAATTAGAAAATATATTTTCTTGACTTTTATAATAACTACCTTAACAATCATATAGACGATTTTTTTAATTAGCTGATACTTTACATTAAACATATTTACACTGACAGAGCATATGTATGAAATTCTAAATGAAATGAGAAGGAATTTGATTTCAATGTTTTCATGCTTGGATAAACTGTAGTTAGATTTCTTTCAAACTCAATTTAAAGGATGGTTGAACTACAAGTTGTAAGTTACTACCCAATCTTTCTGTCAATTTTGATTGTTGATTTCCTTAGATTGGTCATAATTTAAGAAGGCTAGAATAGGTAAGATATGATTCGAAAATGATTACAGCTTCTGGTAGACATGATGATTGATGCATTGTCATACAATTTCCAATTGTAAGGGTGATCATCCAATTACTTCATATAGGGCATGTTCAAAAAAGCATTAAAAATAGAACTGATCATTCAATAAGAGAAGAAGCTTGAATTCAATCCAAACCTAAATTACATCTAATTCATAACTAAGATCCATTTTGATCCTAGGTTGAGAAATTCAACTAAACATGATGAAAGAAAAACTGAAGGAAACTAAGTGAAGTCCATTTGCTAAAATTGAAGGCCTGTCTTTCTTCTAATAGTAAGAACTTTTGTGGGAACTATGGGAAATGGGAGTTTGTTAAGACAGTTAGGACAGTAATTAGTGAGTTAGGGTGTTAATGAGTTAAATAAATATCAGGATGTGAGGACAAAGGATTCATTCTATCTTGTATTAGTTGTAAATTGAAGATTAGAAATTTGAAACATGCAGGCACCTAAGATGACCATTTTTCTCAGGTGTGCACCAGCACTCAGGTGCAAGACACGTCTGACTATCAAGTATTCTGTGAGTACTGGGTATTTTCCCACTGTGCACGGGCAAAGTAGTGAGTCTAAAACAATATTCTAACAAAAATGTACGAATACTTTATTAATATTTGTTAAGGAGTAAGGACAACTTTTTGTCTAGCTATTATTGTTGTTTGTTACAAATGACAACTTGAAAGATGCATTATTTCCTCATTATCGCTTAGGTGTTTTGGTAACAACCTTCTTTTTCAGGTTAAGGTTTTGAGGTCAATTCGAAAATTGGAGCCTAAGGATGTCATTCTTGGGCAATATAGAGCAAGTGGTGGAGCCAAAGTTGATACATGCTTAAATGGTCTGACACCTACTTATTTTGCTGCTGCACTATACATTGACAATGCACGATGGGATGGTGTGCCATTTTTTATTAAAACAGGCTTGGGACTCATCAAACACCAGTAAAATCATCATCTTCTGCGTCAATTTTCTTTAGATATATACTTTTTATGCACGAAAATTACATATTTAGTTCCTTGACATGAATATCCTTCTTCCAGTCATTTCTCGTCATTCCAATTTATAAAAAGAAAAAAAAATCTCCTTATTCCCGAGTTTGGATTTTAGCTTGTTAGAGAATATTGATCTTGCAACAACTATGAAATTTCCAATTCTGAAAAGGAATAATAAAGTGAAAAAGGGAAGTTCAAGATCAGTCTGAGAAAGACTGATGGATAGTACATGATCACTTCTTCCCCAGGCCCATGTCTTAAACTTGTACTCAAAGGAAATATTGAAGATCTAAGAGTTGCTTATGATTATGTTTGAAGTTAACCAATCCTTTAAATGTATAATTTATAAGCTTATGTAGAATAGGTCTGAAAATTATTTCCCGAAACGTATTACTTTGTGACCCATGTTAGAAAATATGCTAATGCAGAATGGAGATACGGATACAATTTCGAAATGTTCCAGGTAATGTGTACCGTGAGTGCATGGGGCATAACATGGACCGTGCTGTGAATGAGCTCATTCTCCGTGATGTTCCTGATGAAGCTATTTTGGTGAGAGTTAACAACAAGGTTCCAGGACTAGGCTTGCAACTGGACTCTTCAGAACTAAATTTGCTTTACAAGGACAAGTAAGCACTTAAATGTTGGACTATTTGTGTGCGTCAAACTTCGACAAAGTGATGCGAGTTGCTAACCTTTCCTTCATGTTACATTGATTATTAATGTTAAAGGTACAACATGGAGGTTCCAGATTCGTATGAGCAACTTCTTCTTGATGTCATTGATGGGGACAACCATTTGTTCATGAGAAGTGATGAACTGGAAGCAGCATGGAACATTCTAACTCCAATTCTGAATGAGATAGACAAAGAAAACATATCGGTGGAGCTTTATGAGATGGGGGGTCGAGGTCCTGTTGGGGCATACTACCTTTGGGCAAAACATGGGGTCCGTTGGGTAGAGGATTAATAACAACTTCCCTCCTTTTTTTGTTTAGATTTAATTAATCTTTTTCATACTTAAAAACTCTGTTTTATGTCTCTCTACACACAAAATTTTAATGTTTTAGTCACTTATGTTGGCTTTTTGACAGTGTAAAACTGTCGCAAAATGAAAACATGATAGACGAAAACACAAGACTTGGGACTGAGTCGAAATTTTTTATATGGACCAAAATGTTTGTTAATATTTTTTAGTCTTATAACAGGTACTTGTATTTTGTTACCTACCCCACAAGGACGATCTAGACCGTGTTAAGGATTTTGAAATAAACTTCAACTGTTGAACATTTTCTTGTTGACAATTCCACATGTTCTTGAAAGAGAAAAATTAAATGAGTCCAAGAAAAACAATGAGATGGAAAGCAAAGCAAGGAGAACAAGTGAGCAACAAACATATATGTTTATATATATTCAGCATTGAACCGCTTTTACTGATTAATTTTTGAAGTAAAACAAAATATTTCATCTTTTGGTGAAGTTCAAAGTTGATTATCCACTATATTTATGATCTTTGTTTGAATTATTGTTTTTTCTAACCATTAAAGCACTTTCTTTTCTGTCAAGATTTTCTGGTTTTATTAGAAAAGTAATGGGGTAATGAGAATTCTTAACAACTTGGTTGGATGGTTATTCATTCTAAAGCCCTAAATGGTCATGCATAAATCAAATCTTGATTTTACTTTTATAACAATATAGTTAATTTTGTTAATAATTCCGTCGAAATCAACCATATTATATTAGCCTTCAATCACGGCAAAAGATTTTAATATAATGAAAATTGTGTTTATGTTTTTCCTTAGGGTGTTGCTCCCTCCACCACCACACCTTTCTCCCTCCACCTCCCCAATTTTTTTNTTATATATAAAGTGTAAGATGAAATACTTTACAATTTACTTTAAAAATGAAACAGTCTTTTATAATAATTTAAGGAAAAAAATATTTAATCCAAAATTAAATGTAAACAAAAAAAATATTATCTATAGCATGTTATTACAATGTAATCACTATGGCTTTGTGGTTATAAGATTTGGTATTTTTAATAATGATGGAATCACTTGTGTTGTGCCTACTTAAGATAAGTAATTTCCTCTTCTTATATTTACAACATAGAGCAAAATAAAATATTTGAAAATAAAATTTATATTTACATAATGAAGAAATTTAAAGATATTATTCATATTTTTATTTATCTTTTTATTATTTAAATATCCTCGCCCATTTAAGCATACATTTAAAAAAAAAAATCTTTCATATACTCTTCATCTTAAGTCCCACATATACACAATATACTCATTTCAAGTTTATCATGCACTAATTGTATGATTTTTCATAACTTAGTCAGAGAACAAAGCAATGAGTTCGTCCATCCACCAAACAAGGTGATCAACATGCACCAGCTTGAATGGTCAATCCCCGATTCAAAAAGCAAACTAACGAGTCTGACTAGTCACCAAATTGGCTAACTAACCATACACCAGCATGGAGAGCAAGTCATGAAGCTCAATAAGACATGCAGTAGCTTAGATAGCCAAGTATCAACTCAAAGAGCAAACTACCAATCCTAAATGATCACCAAACAGAACATCCACCCTTAGAGCGTTAGTAGAGTAGATTAACCTTTAAATTGATCAACTCAATATTAAAGTATAATTACTCACAATTTAGCTGCAATTAGACAAACTTTAATAAAAAAACCTATCATAAAACTTATAAATAAAAGTTTAAAGTAAGAAGA